AGTAACAAAAAAGATTTTCTACACCTGACTACTGTATCTGTAACTTCAAATGTGTTACCTATGAAACTTATTATGTACAAAGTAACTAGTTCTTGAAGATAAAAATTATGGAAACATGTAAAAAAAAAAAAAAACTGCTGTAGCTGTATCTAAACAGATCCCTGTTCTAAAAAAAGAAACAATCAGAAGTTGGGTGATGATACTCAAAATATCTAAATCAAAGAAGTGGCATCTTTCAGTCTCAAATAGGTAAAAGGCACACAATCTAATTCTTCAATTGCATTTTAAGGCTTCGCCCTCCCTAAGGCTCAACTTTCACTGTGGTTAAAGTTAAAATTACTTTCTCTAAACTCTTTTGTTTTTCTTTCTAAACTATCCTTTTGAAAGGATCTATTGTAGAGATCCTTTATTCACCTGCCCTTATTTACATAAAGACTAAAATGAAGATAATAGAGTTAGGGTCTTAGTATTCAGAATGCTTTTAACTGGTGACGAGAAGGAAGAAGCCTATAGTTAAATATCCCAGAAATTTATTTGATATTTGCTTGAATACAGTTTATATAGAAAGACTAGAATTGTTTGCTTTGGGTGCCCCTGGTAAATCTCATGGAGGCACTAAACTACAAAGGGGTGTTAATCTGGAGACATCGGAAATGGAAATCACAAGCCCAATTCTAGGACTGTTCCTAAAGATTTGTCTCTAGTGAAATTAGGCCACTCTCTTAAAAATTGCTCAATGTGTTGGAGCTACTGTGTGAAAACAGCTGAAATTTAAGAGGGCATTTCATGTTCTGGTCTGTTAGAACATTTAAATACTTGGAAATAAAAAATATTTAGCTTTGAAGTTTTCAATACTGGAAAACTTTCGAGTCTAGGGTTTACAGCCAGGAGGCAGGGCTGCTCTGTGTTCCTTAAATTGGACTCTGTTTCCAACAAGGTTAATCTTCAGCTTTGGCTTCCATTTCTTCTGCATCATCATCTCCATCCACTTCTGCATTTTCTCTTTCAAGCCTCTCCAGCTGCCTTGCAAGTTCAGTCTCATCTGTATCTGTGACCACTTTGGGCT